CTACGCCACCCGTTCTGAACCGGTGATGCGCCTTACCAGCGGTGAGTGATGTGTGCATTGTGGGGGAGAGAGGACAGACCGTCTTTAAGGCGTCATCGAAACCATCAACTCGTTATGGCTTACGCTAGTGTTTCTATGCTCTACAAAGTGTAACAACATTGGTTCCAGTCAACTGTTATAGCGGCTTACACCCTCCATGACGAGGCAGCACCTCTTCCCACACGCGCGCATTGGCACGAGCTGCCTCCTCAATTTGGGGGTGGCTGAGCTCCACTTCGAGGCCAAGGGTGAACGTTAAGCATGCCCTTGGCAAAGTAATGAATGTCATGCTACATGCCAGTCATAACTTTGCATACTTTGTCCAATTCTCTTCTACCGTGCGTCGATTCTGTCGTCGACCCATTGGGTACGGACTGGCAATGCGTGAGTTGTGCGTGCTGCTGAGACGGGGATTAACAGCAAACAATTGGACAACTTCATTTGTGGTCGTGTTAGCTGAGCATGGTGTTACGAAAAATGGGATACAAATGCATCCCACTCCTACCTGTCTTGACTCCGCACTTGGCTTGCATGTGCACCTGGCTCCATGTTTTGTGATTCATTTAAGTGTGCATGTCAAGCATTCTGCCGCACTGGTGGTTGCGTGTTGAGTATCGCGGTGTGGGTTGAGCACTGTCGCCACCAGACGTCGCTGTCATGACGACATCGGCAATCTCTGTGCCACTGGCATCGACAATAGGAAGAAGGACTGCGACTGCGATGAGGGTGCTGTTAATGGCACACCATTTGCCGAGTGGGGCTTAAGCCAAAGTGACAGCAGCTTTCTTCCTCACTCAACTGCCAATGCTTTAAACTTGTCCCACTTGAATAGCCACGAAGTTTGTTGCACATATCGAGGCAGTAGCTGTCAGATTAGCAAAATCCTCAAGGACGCCTGCTAGGCGGCTCGTCTGATGCTACTTGAGACAGATGTGCTAGGCACCTGCAAGAACTAACAAGGGGGACGTGCGATTGCAAGACCACTGTGAGACGGAAGAAATCGGGGTTGTAGTGTCGCCCTTTCAAGTTGTGTTGGTCGCAACCTAAGTGACGTGGATAACTGGGCAG